CCCAATAAAAACTTCTGTCTACTGGACAACCGAACCCGTGTCTGTCGTTTTCTGACACTAGATACAGTGAAGTACATTTGGTTACAACATGGTTTTGCTAAAGAATATATAAATGGAACTCAAAGAGCAACCTTCCTGTCGGGTAAGGACCACATTAACAACAACCTATTAAACAAAAACCTCTGCTGAATTTAGTTTGTTAGAGTACCAGGTTTTAAAGTTTAGTTTCGCTTTCTTTTTGCCATGATTTTTTTTCTTACAAGCTACTGTATCTCAAAGTAATGCAAATCACTCAAGGAAGGGGGAAAGAGAGTAGGAAGTCTTTTGCTTCTGCTCAAGAAAAAAAAAATAACCCATCTTATTGATATTAGAGGAATTGCATTTGTATTACCTAACTTTACACTAAAATGATTAAGCGTCCAAACCTATATACACCTACTTGGGCAGGGCTAACACTAATAACAACATCCGCCTATCCCAGGTGCTTGGGAAGGACTGGATGGGTGGATAAAAATGCCAAATCCAGCCTAAACATCTGGCTGACTGTGCAACCAACCATCATCATCATCATCATCATCCATCATCATCATCATCATCATCTATTAAATGTATATGCCACCTGACTCCCAGAGACTCTCGGTGGTTAGGAATGAACCTAGAAGATGCTCTACTAAATACTTTCACTGAGAAACAATCCCTTATTGCTGGTCTTATGTATGAGTAAAGATGCATAAGATCAGATCATACTCTTCAGTGCAAAGCCTCTTAAATAACGTGGGACTCCTTTTTTAGTAAACACGTATACAAGATGCCAGAGCACCCTGCATACTTTTCTGGAGGCTGTGATGATTGAGCAACGGTCCATGCAGACACAGCTTCCTGAGGTGTGCACAGAAACAATCTGAATGGTGACGTTCAGAATGGCGAGGAATTGCTTTTTCACACTGAGTGTGAACATTTACATCACAAAGACTCCAGGTGTCTTACAAATCCTTGCTGGGTGAGATCAAGCTCATATCACTCGTCCACAATTTACTGTGGCTAAATGTCAGGTTCCTTGAGGTTAAATATCTGGCCAAATATTACTCAGCACATTAACCCAAGGGCCAGCACAGAGCAAGGCAGCCTCGACTTCTTCTCCATTTATTTTAATTCCTCAAGAGCTTGGATGTCAAGGGAGCACTTGTTCTGGCTTAACTTACACCGACATCCTTGTAATCTTAAAGCATCACTTGTGTTCCGTACCCTGCCTTTAGAACAAGCATCTGTTTCTTTCATCTGAGATCCTTTCAACAATGCTAAGAGTACATTTTGCATGATAGAGTTTCCTTCTGGATGTAAATACCATACATTTTGACACTAGAAATGCCAGGAGGGGGACCTCAGGCTATGCTATCATATGTACTTTTGTGGGAAGGGTTGGGCCTCCTTTTAGAAGTCAAAACCAAGCCAAAGATGAATGGAAATACTACAAAGCTGTCGACTGTCTAAACAAAGATTCTAAAGAGATGTTATTCTTCTGTCACTCAACAGGGAATAATGCCAAGAGCCGTTTAAGGGGAAGAGAATATGAAGCACAATTAATAGAAAAGATGAGAGGAAGGTGGGAGCAAGATACAGACTTCTCAAAGTTCCACATCTCCTGTTCCTGATGCCCACTGACGGCCAATCCCATTCCTTCATCGCTAATGAAACAACGAGATTTCAAATCACAAAATCTCTCGTTCTCACAGTTAATTCTCAGAATTACAAAGGGAGCCACCACAAGGAGAATTTTCACTCCTAAAATTCCTTCAGGGCTGCCATGAAGAGGAAATTCTTGCTAGAATTCCCATTATTTCCTGGGGCAGCCACAGTAATTAACTCTGATAGGTGTTTGTCCTCTACAGAGACATGATTAAACATTTTCAGCAAACTTGTCTATTTCATCTGTTCAAGGCAACTAAATGATGAATATTTGAAATCACAGAGCTAAGGACATCCATAAGGATAGGTACCATCTCCCTATTTTGGGCAATCACCGTAGTTTATCTAGTTCAGTTTTGCTGGACATTCTTGCATGTCCACCTAAGGAGCTGTGCCAAGAAGGACAGATGGAAAGGAGGTCCATTTAATTTTAGCAACATAGTTATAAGGCAAATTATTAGCAAAACCACAACATACAAGGACTTACCCCGTAGACCAGCTCACCCACCATGCCATTCCACATTTTCGTCTCAGGATCTCTTGCTCCATACTTTCCATCAGGTACAATGGACAGGACATATTTAATCCCAACATGTTTTGCAATTTCATAAGCAAGGTCAACACAATAGCCTTCATATTTCTCATTCCCTTCCTTCTGGTCAGGAGACTGCTTGCGCATCACATAGGGTGCTTCCTGAAAAATGACACAAGGAGAAAATAAGGTGGAAGGGCGGGGGTCCCTTCAATGGGGTAGACAGAGCAAATGGGGAGAAGTCCCAACCCAAGAGGTTCAAACATAAAAGAGTTAAGGAAAACCGGATCTGCCTGTCAGTTCATAGAGTAGGCAGAACAATCAAAGCTTGAGAAAATCAAACTCTGAGCATCCGATCAGAAGCTGGAAGGTATTCCTCTTAGGGGAGATTTTCAAAAGCCTTTTAAAAGGGGGAAGAGTTTTTTGCCCTTCGTTCCTGTAGGAACATTTTCTGGGCTGATTAAAGCGGAGCTGCAATTACTTTGTTCTCTGTGTGTTTAACCATGCATGTACAGATTAGGGTAACAGCTAACAGCTATTCAGCCTCTTCAGGGTACTTCGCTCATTCTTCTTTGTTCTCCCCTTTCTCATATTGCTTTTCTGCAACTCCCTCTAATTCTTTAACCCTGATATACATAGTAAAGACTTGAATTCTTAAGGAATCAGTGATTCTCATTCTGACAAGGAATCTAGCTTTAGGTCCTGTCTCCCACCAGGTTAAACTACTGATATAAGGGCAACAGCCAACTTGCTCCATTCCATGTCATTGTTGAGAAAACTACATGGATGGGTGTGTCCAGGAAGCCATCAGGAGAAGAGTTTGACCTGAAGGAGTCTAGTTTAGAAAACAATGACTAAAGGGATGTAAATTACCTTATGCTCAATTTGGAGAAAGTCAAGTTTTTATTCTATAAGCTAATTACACACCGACTGGGGTGCAACTTACAAGGATGGTAGTCACCACAATGGTTCTATTCTCAACTGAGGAAGTATCATTGGAAATGGTAGGATCAACTGCAGGCACAAATCGCTCATATTCATTCCAGTAACCAGCCTATAATTGAAGAGAGCATTGCCAAATTAAGATAGTGAATTTGTGTTATTGATTGATAGATAGACAGACAGACAGATAGATAGATACTACTGTACAATGGTAAACAGTTTCTTCTCTTCTCTCCTTTCTCACTGTAACTAGAACCTGTTGGACATTCTCAGCCTAAAAATTGTAGGTTTCCGTTTTCCTTTTTAAAACATGTCTTTAAAATTCCTTCCTTTTCCACTTTCTCATTTATATACGATTAACATACAGAGTTAACAGGCCTTCTAATCTAGTCTTGGCTTGATGTAAAAAGCCCAACCCCTCCCTGAAGACTTCTAGCAAGAGTCCACTGCCTTCATCCAGGTTATGGCTTCCGTTGGCAACCTTCTCTCTCATCCCATCCTTTCTTCCAATGTTCAATCCTCACTGGGTCTTGTTCTGCCCTGCAGGTGGGGTAAACAGACGCATACATACTACACTTCTTAATAATACTTGCACTATTGTAGGAGTAACAAGGGTGGGAACAAGCCCTGTATGGCATACTTTTGAAGAGTAGAACTGGAAAGTGCCCAGGATCAGCATGATGTTGCCTCTTGTGAGTGGGGAGTATCTGACTCATTCCGACAGTTGGAGAGCCCCAAAACCTTTGAGAGGGATCTTAGTTGAAGCTTCCCCACTTTTTTCCCTTGTCTTTTCTCTTTCAGTCTCTTGAATCCCCAAGTCAATCTGGTCAGCTCCATGGGCAACAACTATTTGTAGCCAAGTTTCCCGAATCCAAGACTTATTGTCTGTAGCAGGCCCAAGTCTTAGGGCCGTGTTTCTCAACCTCAGCAACCTGAAGATGCGTGGACTTCAACTCCCAGAATTCCCCAGCCAGCACATCCACACACCTTCAAGTTGCTGAGGTTGAGAAACAGTGTCTTAGGGAGATTAGTATCTGGTGGTAGATCACTGGGTAATTTATTTTAGATAACAAAATTTGTGACTCCTAATTGCTTAAAAACTCTACTCTGCAAACTGTCAAAATAAAGATACCTGGGAGCTGGAACAAAGCCAAGATTTTGATCAGAAAGGAATGGAAGGTAAGAAACCTGAAATCTGTCCATTCCTTTCTCCATCCCGTGGGTTCATCTGATGTTTTGACAGCCATCCAACTGATCTGTTCCTATAACAACATGGGGGCAGAGAGTGATTTCCTCTCTACATTTATCTAACTGTGGCTTACCTTCCGTGGCCCGCCAGGTCTCATTTCATACACATCAATCGTATAATTGGTTCTACGTCCGTAGGTGTCAAACTGGATATTTCCTGTCATTCCTTGAACTTGAACCTTGACAATTATAAAGTTGCAACATAACGATATATAGAAAGCAGCAAAGAAATTGGTATCCATGCATTGCCCAGTATACAAGAACCATTGTTCCATAAAAACTCATTTTTCAGCAACTCCATCAAAATCAAAGAACAGATGGATTTGTCCTTAAGCATGTCACAAAGAGAAACATAAAAGACCCAAAAGAGAGAGAATGGGTGACCTATCTACTTTTAGCTACCTCTGTCAACTGGATCTGCCCCCCACCCCATTCCTCCTAAGGGGGATGATCTTTTCAGCTACGGGGGCATTTATGAAAAGCCCTTCACAAGAAAATATGCCAGGCTTACACCTTAATATCTTTTCAAACCCCACACAGCTCATTCTCTTCTCCCAGTTTTTAAGTGCATTTTGATTTTAAGCGCCTACTCTACAGCGCAGTTGATTTTCTGTGCTTTATGTATTTCCTATGCTATTTATTTATTAATGCTATTTTATCACTTCCATTACCATCTGGGTGGTGTTTTTTGGGGGGGGGGGTGAAGCATTTTTTAGAAACTTTTAATGGTTTAAGTAACTTTGTAAACACTGGATATTGGATGGATGGATCAGCCTAAAGTAAGTAAATAAGAAAGGTAAGTAAGTGAAAAAACAAGAAAAATGTAGGTTGTCTACTCGTGGAATATTGATATAAGATGCTGTTGCTTAAATCCTCACCATTTTCAAGGCTCTCTCAATATCAATTCCTTGGCTCCAAGGCACAGCTGGGTTTGCTAAACAATCTCCAGCACTACCTCTCCGGGATACATCTACCCGCTGCCTTCGGAGGTACCGGAACGCTTCTGCTATGACAAGTATTGCATCGTGGGTCAATGCAGATGTATACTAAAGGAGATGTAAAAGAGACAAGTAAGTGAACTTCATCCCACAAATATTTCAGGTCTTTTTTTTTCTTCCTTAAACAGTGTTGAGTAATATCACAATACCTGGGAAGGCTGTGTCAGCCCTATAAGGTAGACCAGACTAAGAAACCAATGCCATATAGGTCAGAATTACTTTTACTGGAACAGAATCTTGCACGTTTGAATGTGCTTCCCCCTCCCTCACTTTATCTTCATGTCGGAGGGGCATGCCTGAGACGTTTTCTCAGATTAGTTTCTTGGAACAGTCCCTCTTATCTGACCATTGCCTTGGTAACACCTCTTCCTCCTGTCCTTCAAGGCCATTCCCTATGCCCTCTACAGCTGTACAACTTTCAAAAAATGATTTGGAAGACTCTTAAGACCTTGTGTGCAGCCTGTCTTTTTTCTGCTTTTAGCAAAAAGATGCGGCTGCTTTAAGAGTCGCAGTTGCTTTAATGAGTCAACTTAGCAAAGCAGCCAGCTGTTTTAACCAATACTAGAGAGGGTTCTCTGCTTGCCCTCATGGAGGTCTGAAGTGCTTCTTCTGGATCATTTTCTAAGTGTGCACAGTACGAAATTACATAATAACCACTCCACATTTCTTGAGATGTCAAATATCATTCTGAAATTATATTATTGCTAAAAAAAGAAAGATAAGATGGAAAGAGTTGTCATATCTTGTCCACACCTCATTTATGGTCCTCTTTCCAACATTGCCATTTTAAAGCATGAGTATGCCAGAAGACATATAAATCCTTGATATGGGTAACCATATAAAATTCCATTTAAAAAGAGGATTATTTATAACACACCACAGCAAACCACATGGAATGGAAGAGCTGATACACGCAGTCATACTGTGCCAAAAATGCATCTTCCAATTTTATGCAAATTTACTCTCCAGAAAGAGGTTTTGTTTTGTTTTTCAATCCCATTCTCCAGAAGCTTTAAAATTTCTTTAGATTACTTGTGGCATTATCACAGTAACATTCTCCAAATGTTAACAAAGACAAGACTATATGACACCATTTTTCTCCCTTGGGGGGCGCGGGGGGAAATTGTAGCAACCTTCTCCTTTTGTTAAAAAATGAATTAGCCAACACCACTTGTCTGATTTTAAAATCAGAACAACTATGAAGTGTATCTCTCTGAGCTACATTTCATATTAACTCACATATGCAGTTGGCAATAATTCTGTTTATTTTTTTACCCTAAAATGTCTTCACAGTACACTTCCACAGCTTGTTCATGCTGTTCAGAATTACAGTTCTCCTTGAGTTTATAAATCTGATAAACCTTCCCACTCACAGGAAGGTAAGATCTCTACATGGTTTTTCTCTCCCCCTCCCATTTTTTTCCCAAAAAAACCCCAATGCATTATATTTACTTCAGATAAAGAGACAGGGGACTTTCTGAAACTAGAGGTTTGTCTCTTTCCTGAATAAATTGTATTTTCAGGGCCAGCATTTTGTACTATACATCACATGCATCTATGAATAATTGGGTAACACATCTGGCAAAATTAACTGGCCATTGTGGCTAAAACCCATGGATGATTTACTGGAAATTAACAAAGAAGTGAATACTTTGTACAGGGATATTTGTCCATTTGCCCAAAAGATGAATCAGCCTAATCTAGTCCTTCAATTCTAGGAAGATGATGAGACTGAACCGCAGGGTAGAATAGATGTCACTTGGGGTGGAAGGTGGGGAGAAAGGCCATAAGAAGTTCTTTTCATAACAGAACTATCAGCAGGTCTGTTTTTGGAAAAGAAGATAATGCCAGACCTGTTATCACATTAAAGGAAATCAACCCTTAATTTTCAACGAATTATGTAGAGCGCTACGAATTCTTTGCACAATATTGGTGATTGTGACACCAGCTGAAAGAAGTTTTTGCAAACTAGCACCCATCCAAAACTAACAGCATTCTGTTGGCAAGAACGATTATGAATGTAGCTGTTTTGTTTCTCATGTGTTACATGGAATATGACCGAACCATGAATTTGCAAAGATCAGAAAAAATAAAGCTGTAAAACGAATCAATTGAACAAAACACTAGTAACAATATCATTATTAGAAAAACAAACTCAAATAAAAACATGAACAGGGTCATTTGTGTTTTTCACTCCCCAAACCTTACAAAACAGTCAGCAGGATTTGTAGAACAGTCACAGGCAGGGTGAACCAATTCAACAAGGTTGACAAGGGAAAATCTCATAGGAACAGGAGAGACGATGTGGACGTCCACAGGAGCTTGCTGCTTTCATGAGAATGGTGAGAGCAACACTGCCGTGTCATGCCATAAGCTCCACCCCTTTTGAATATGCATGTCTTGTTACGATACACATATGCAAGGGATGGGGCTTCTGTTGCAAGGTTGTGACAATGCTTTTGTAATTTGCTCCCTCCCCCCATGGATGAGATTGGTTCAGTTCCCCCCTTTCAACAGTCAGCTGCTAAATGCTTCCACACAACAAATAAGAATGGACAATTGATCCCAAGTTTCTTGGTCTGAGAAGCGTTGGCAGATGCCTTCTACCATAGACCAACACAGTTCTCCGGTTACCAGCTCAACCTAGAGATTGATCTACGGATTGCCTGTCTGCTTAACCCATTCCAATTGTTGTTCTCCAATAGCTGGCCCATTAAGCATTACATAAACCTGCAATTGTCTTTCTTGCCCCCCCCCCCAATTTTCCAATCAGGCTGCCTCAGTTATAAGAAATTGTCCTGCCATCTCTTCCACACCACACCAAGAGACAAATCTAATTTTCTATTTTATTCATATTCTGCTAACAAATGCATGAACATGCGAAGCCAGTGAGGGAAGGAGAGAGTTGATGAAATATTGAATAAATTAAAACACCCAGGCTCTCATCTCTAGCCAATTTTATTTCCTAATCAAATTTACTTTTTTTTTCCCCAAGGGGCGGGGTTGTCAGTTTAATAAACACTGTTCATGTATTACAAATCCAAAGTGTTTCCCAACGTTAAGAGTATTTAAAGTGGACTTTCCCCTGAGATCTTTTCCTTCCTTTTTTTCCTTTTTACTGCTTTTTTTGGGGGGGAGGGGGCTGATTGTTGTCTTTACCATTGTTATTTATTAGTTCCTGTTTGTTTTACATGGGACAGTGGAGGTTTTAAAATGTTCTTTTTATTTTCTACGTAAGCCGCCGGGAGTAATTTTCATTATGACGGGGTAGAAATGTGTTTAATAAGTAGATAAACAAATACAACAGCAGACGAGTTCATTTCTGGGAAAAAGCCATTTCTTAAATTAACTGTAGTTAAAGAGCATTAAGATATGATTCAGCGCTCTTCTTTATGGCAATGTGCAATCAACCTTGGTTCATATCAGCTTCAGCCATACTTTTCTGCCCTCTGAAATTTCCTATGGTGTTGGATTGAGCCCTGGAAGCACCAGGTTGAAGTCCACCCTCAGCCAGAGAAGCTCATGGGTGACTTAAGCCAGTCACTCAATCTCAGCCCAACCAACTTCATAGGGTTGTTGTGGGAGAAAGAAATGGGAGGGGCGAGTAGTGTGTACTCTAGTCTTGAACTCCTGAATAAAGGCAGGATACAAATCTAATCAAGAAATAAGCAGGGACATAAAAAATTCTGTCTATAGACAAAAACGTAGCACTTGAAATGCACAGGCCCCAGTTATGCAGCTGATAAAATATAAGAATTGCTCACTCAATCTGGGCTAATGCATGTAGGATTTTACGCATAACTGCTCTTTCAGGTTACTGTTGTTATGAAGCTGCCTGCTGGCAACAGGACAGGACAGATATGGCCAGAGGGAAGATGCCATGCTATTCTTCCTTGTAGAGAAGAGTAATTTGGATTTCTCTAATCCAATCTGGCTCCTTGACATTTTTTAAAATTTTATTTTACTATTTTATTTTATTTTTGCATCAGAGAGCAAAGGCCACCATTGATCGATTGATGGATGGATGGATTTATATCATGCCTTCCTGCTCTGGTGAGCATATCAGCTCCTAAACCTCATAAAGCAGCTAACAATCAATCCACAGTAGTCTTCATTTCTGTTGTGCTTGAAGGGAATTCCCAAATAATGCTGTTAGTCAATCAATCTCACACCATTTTCCTCCAGCTGACCAACGAAGAATGCACCTTGTAAACTATCACTGGAGTAAGTCATGGAACAGCAAAAATCCTGTCCACCACCCTTCCTCCATTCCACAGAAAAGGGAAAATAAACTATATAGCTGAATGTATAGCTATTTATATTCAGCTGAATGCATTGACGTGATCGGGTATGAGGAATGCAGGAAAATGATCTACCCTGAATCAGATCACTAGCTCAGTATTATCTGCAGCAGTCATTTCCAACTTGTTACCTCCAGATTATTGGATTTCAGTTCCTATAATTCCCAGACACTGTATTGGCTTTAGGAAAGTTGAATTTCAACATGTCTGGGAGGCATCAATTTGGAGAAACAAAGCTGAAGGGAATGGGTTTCCAGGATTTCAAGGTAGACTTCTGAAGACACCAGGACTGGAACGGTGACTTTCCACATTCAAAGCATGGCCTGATTCAAATGTCTCACTACAGCATAACATAGATTGTTTGAGTTGAGTCAAGCCATTGCGGTTTGTAAACCAACATTTAAGACTTGTTAGAGGTTGTTCAACCAGTGATGTGGAATCTTGTCTTCTACTAGATCCCTAAGGCTTGTTCAAAACAAGTGATCGTTTAGTACTCAATCCACAACATCCATAGCTGAGCTACAAACAAAGAGGACTCAACAAATCTATACCTTCTGAAAATGGTAGTCCTTTCCTCCCCCTGCCACCTCCCCACTACTTTCCAGTAGCCTGCAACACTTACCTTTAATGGAGAATTTTTAGCTTCAGGAAATTCCCTTTCATCGAGTCTTACCCAACGTTGCATAAACTGTTGGACCAATGGGTTTTCGTTGTTAATAATCTGAAATCCAGTTACATTGGCTCCAGCCTGTACCACTCTTTCCACAGAGATGTCTGTAAAACCCTTGAAAGGCAATAGAAACATTTTAATGGTTTATTTCAGCTTGGAAGCAGTCAAATACACAGCCTCCAACTTTGGAAAAGAAACACAGATTTACATATGCCATTAATTTGCTGAATCCAGTTGGTGGGTTCCCATTCTGATAAACCATGTGGTAAGGAGACATTTGAAAGGCACAATGATAAGAGGGAAGAGTTTTATCATACACCTAGGCAAACCTAGGATTTGGGTTTTCTCCTTTTTTGAAAAGCGTGTTAATCCTGTCTCAAGGTTGATGTTGTACTTTGCCACCAAATAATGAGAAACAGGATCACTGACTTTTAGCAGTTTTGGCAGTTTGAGGTCCCAGGTTGCAATCAATGGGTATGTTCAGCATTGACTGAAAGACTGAGCCATTGCCCAACAATATGGCAGCATCTTAGCCAAATTTGCCTTATCTAAAAAAAATTATGCAGGGTCAACCCTAGTTAGTATCTGGACAGGAAACCACCAGAAAATTCCAGGGGGTAGACTAGACAGGGAGATTGAAAAAAATCTTAGAAGAAGGCCATGGCAAACCATTTCCATACACTGCCACGTGAACTATATGAGTGTGTCCATGACCATTGAGTTGATATACACTTACACATCAGAGATACATATTTTGGCATGGACATAACCCAAGCATTTGGGGGAGGGGGGGCAAGGGCATGCCTTTCAGTCAGTCTGGACTCCTGGCAACTGCTTGGACAGGTCCCTGCAGTTTTCATGGCAAGATTTCAGAAATGGTTTGCCATTGCCTCCTTCCTAGGGCTGAATGAAAGGGACTGGCCCAAGGTCACCCAGCTGGCTTTGTGCCTTAAGTGGGACTAGAACTCACAGCCTCCCGGTTTCTAGCCTGATGCCTTAACCACTAGACCAAACTGGCTGACAGGCATATCAGAAGTATATTGAGATGCACCACCTAAGTCCCAAGGCTGCATGGACCCACAAGGTTTGTTTGTGCTTTGCACACACTTATACAGAGAATATAACAAGGGAGGCACTTGGAAACTGCACTTGAATGCATTTGCATGCAAATTACATTCAAAAATTAGACAAAAGGTGCAAACTATTAAATAAGAAGCCCGTTATCTCTCCTCTTCACAATAAGCTTTAGCTGTATTGCCAACATTGGAGACGTGAGTTGTTAAGTAGCCTGGCAACTTGTCTAGATGGAATTATGGATTAACTTTGACTTTTTGTAACAAACTATAAAGTAACTAAGACTAATGCTGTATTTCCCAAGAATGAGTTTTGTATTATCAAAAAGAGATTTGCATTATCAAACTGTATAATCTGAGAGGAAATACAAATGATACAGTTAGGTTTAAATGATTAGAACAAAAAAGTCGCTTCACTGTACGAAAAAAGGATTTACCAAGTATTGGTTCGGAAGCTTCTTTATCAACTGAAAAATTGTTTCTGGCCAAGATCCAAAGAGCTACTGTACTTTGGATACATTCTAAAGGGAACTTCAGAATCTCTGTTTAAATACTAAAACAGTTTGTCATGCATTAAATCTTCACATCTTCCTTTCTGGATTTAATTTTCAGTGCTGATTGTTAAAGCCCTGAATAGCTTAGGTTCTTTAAAAACAAAAGACTATCCTTATGTTGTCACCTTTCTTTGGTCAACAACAGAGGGCCTGATAGTCTTGACACTGCAGTTTGATCTAGCTCAGCTTCTCATTCTATCACTTCTCTGGTTGTGCTTTTGTTTTTTTTAAGAGTCTCTGGTAAAAAGATGTAGAGTAGAGTAGAGTAGAGTAGAGTAGAGTAGAGTAGAGTAGAGTATATCCAAATATGTGTGTTTTCCATGGGTCTCTATAACCATTTTTTTTTTTGCAAGCAACGTCCCCTTATATATTTCTAATTATTTTCACCAATATTCATATTTTCTATGTTAATATTTTCCCTTAATAAATATGTACATCAGTATACTTGCTAATGTATGAACTTTTGTTCTGATTTTGGGGTGTGTATATGTGTGAGAGGGCAACACTATGAAAAATTTGGAGACATATGATGAATATCAAGGGATCATTGCATTTTACTTTTTGTTTATGAGGTTTTGAAAAAAACAAATTAGGTAGGTTTATATTCAGAATAAGAAAAGAATGCACTGGATTTCTTTTGGAAGTGTACAGGTCTATATCCATGTACATGTGCGTGTGTGTGTGTGTGTGTGTGTAGAGGACTTACCAGGTTAGCAAGCATATAGTGATAACTTCTGGAATTTTTACTAAGGACTGCAACCTGCATAAAAGGAAAAGGAAAAAAAAAACAGGATGAAGCACTTTGCAGAAATAAAATTATTTTCATTAAGAGGGTTGTTTTGTTTTTTTTAAAGGAAAAGGGATTTGTAAACAACTGTTGATTTGGGAGCAATATACGCATGGATTCCATTACTGAAACCCACAAACTGGGGAACACATCACAAAGCCCTTAGTGAAGGACAGTTTTCATGCACATTCCATGTTTAAATTAATAGTCCTTTGTAAAGGAACACATCTAATGGTAGGAGCTGCTCTCAGTGAGATTGAGAGCTGGGATTCCATGATCTTCTTGAGATGTTTAGCACTCCATCCAAGTACCCATTACCTAATCTTGCAGAGCTTTCTGTCCATAATCTGGAAGTGTGCACTGCTAGAAGGTAGTCTATATCACAAAAGCAATTTTCTTACTGTACATCTAAGGACTACAAGTTTTCCCACCAAGCTCCTATCCATAGACATGCTGAGAGCAACTTCACAAATGGATTTCCATTATCGGATGACACTGACCCCCAAGTCATTGTATTGTACGCTAACGGCCACATTACAAGATCATCTTAACACTGTATTCATGCTTTCCATTGTAATATATTGCATAATAAGGCAAACATCAGAAGAATTTGCTTTAAATGTGTCTAGTATTGCAGGAGGTTGATGGTATCAAACAGCACAATGATGCAAGATGTGTCAGGTATCCATGGAGAAATCTTTACAGTTGCTAAGGAATGAGACATGTTGTGAAGAACTTTACACACAACTGTTCACTTTCTCCTGGAATGTGGTCTACGGAACACAGCTGAAATCATCCTACCAATCAATCTTTGACAAAAATTTTTTGATTTTTTGATTTTTGACAAAAAGAAAAGTTAAACCATAAACTTTAAGATAATGCCAATGGGTTGTACTCTAGGAGAAGTATTTTGCTTTAACTCAACCTGACCAACTTGGTGGTCATCAGATATGCTGGACTACATCTCCCATGAGAGCCAGTTTGGTGCAGTGGTTAAGGCAGCAGACTAGAAACCAGAAGACTCTGAGTTCTAGTCCCGCCTTAGGCCCAAAACCAACTGGGCCAGTCACTCTCTCTCAGCCCTAGGAAGGAGGCGAGGGCAAACCATTTCCAAAATCATGCCAAGAAAACTGCAGGGACTTGTCCAGGTAGTCGCCAGGAGTCAACACTGACTTGAAGGCACGCGTGCACACACACACACACACATTTCCCATAATTTCAGGCTACCTGGTTTTCTACCTGGAATCTAATGGCTTCTCATCTTTCTTATCCTTGTAGGTAAGGGAAAGGAAAAGACATCTACTTAATATCCCCCAATTCCAGAAGAGATTGCCTTATCACATTTCCTCACAGGGCTGATGGTCCTGATGGCCTCTATGAGAGAAAGGAGGGAGGCTGCCCAGCCCCTAAGATCATTTTCAAATAATAGGGACAGAAATTCCACAGGACATTTCACTTTGGAATCTCCCAAGTAGCACATGGATAGGCCACCTTTTTGAGTCCCCGGATTACAAAAAGAGCATTGTGTTCCCTAAGAGCATATTCTATGCACACTGAAAAAATGGCTGCAATGGGAAGCATGAGCTTATCCACATAGGGGTTTTCAGAATGGACATAACCAGCCACAAAACACCCATTTTCCAGAAGGTAAACTGGTGAAGTTGCTTTTTGATTCCCCTTTTCTAGCCTCCCAGGACATTTTCTACAACCCAGCTTGCCTTGGTCCTTTTCATGTTTGAAGGACACCTATGGGCCTAGATGGCTCCCTGATGCACCAGTCCAAATGATGAAGTCCCAAGAATACAGGTGTCCACAGGTGATGGCACAAAATGTACATACAAAACAGATGGAACAAGAAGTCATCTTGACTTCTTCTACCATATCCTAAGGACACCTCTGTGCCAGAAAGCGGCTTTGCAGTGAGCCAGTTTCCCATTTTTTGATTTCAAATCAAAAGACTTTTCCAGAAGAAAAAAAGGCAGATGGAGTAGGAAGGTTGGCCAGAGCAATGGACATGAATGTCAGAATGAAGTCGTGTTCAATTTGACAGGGGGGAGAAAGAGCTTCTTGCAAGCTAGTTTGCAGTTGGAAGAAAAAACAGAGCTTCTGCATATCCATAAATTATCGTTAGTGTGTCATTCTCCTGCCGGGAATAAGTGGGAGCAATCTTTTGCAGCTGGTCTTTAAATGCTTGCTACCCACACACAGATCTGCAGTTTCCCCCCTTGCCCACCCCAAAGTTCAGTCACTCCCGTGGGCGAATGGAAAGCAGGCCATTAATTACTTCTCTTTGGCCAGCCTGTCTTTGGGAAAAAAAGAGTCTTCTTCTAGCTGCAGCACATCTGAAAGTTATTAAGAAAATGAACAGCTCGGCTGTCTCAGAAGAATCTCTTCCCAGTTTTCAAAGCAAAAAAGACCCAGACTAAATCCAGTGGGCTTGGAACAACAGAAGAGAGGGTACCAATGAAAGCCATTTCAAAGACAGAGCCAAAGGTCAATACAGAAGGACTACTGTATGCTGATCTGGTTGCACTGTCTCCTCCATGTAACCTGGGTTGGAAACTGGGAAAGATCCTTGGGGGATATTGGCAGTTTGGTCTCTCTTCTCTTTACAGGAGGGGCTTTAGGTTGGATTGCAAACCCAAGGCACCCTATGCCTGTTTATTTTGAAATGTATCTCACAAATGTTCTGTAGGTCTTACAGAGGTTAGCTTTTCTAGCCCTATTTGAGCATCACACAAGCCTCGTTCTCCTCCACATGTAAGTGCCATTTTCCCAATGGAAACTCTCCACTGTTTGAGGAACCTGATTTTTCTGGATCCCTCACTGGCATGGAGAACCACTGCACGTATAGGAAGTTCTCCATGAGAGAAGGGGAGGAAGCTGAGACAGGAAGGGGAGTTGATTAGTGGCTTAACGCATAAACAGCAGCTCAGTCTGGGTTGCAGAAAGTCCAGGGAGAAGGGATTCAGAACATTCAAAGAGATTCCTTGTTAATGAATTCACTAATAAAAGAGGTGGGATATAAATTGGACTAGGACCAGGGAGAGAGAGGTTCAAATCCACACTTAGCCACAGAAACTTCCTGGGTGATTTTGAGCCTGTCAGTCATCCTCAGCTGAAGCTAGCTCATAAGATTATTGTTGTGGGGAACAACAAGAAGAAGGGTGCTATATATACTGCTTTGAGCTCCTGGAGAAAAGTGGGATATAAATCTGACAAATAATTCAATAAAGTCAAGCCATCTTTGAGTTAAGTTTGACTCCTGGGGATTTATGTAGACACATACATGAACTTTTCTTGGCCACATTATGGAATGGCTATTGTCTTTTTCTGGGATTTTTTTTCTATTTCCCTTCTTAGTCTAGCTTTCAGCCCTGAGATTCTCTGATGGTCTCCATCCCAAGTAATAACCAGAGTTGCTCTTTATTAACTTTCCAAATCAGGCAAAGTCAACAAGGTCCTGCAACTTCTTATTTCTGCTCTAGTCATATAGGGCAATATTTCTCAACCTTGACAAATTTTAGGTGGGTGGATTTCAACTCCCAGAATTCCCCAGCCAGCTGGGGACTTGAAATCCACCTACCTTAAAATTGCTAAAGTTGAGAAACATTGTTATAAGGCACTTGGGTTGTCCTTTGGGGTCTACTAGGCTGAATATCCCTCCCCCATTATCTCTTTTATTCTGCCTAACTCATCCACTTCCTTCCTTGCTGCAGATCTGCACATCCCAACCCCACCTTACTGGATCCACAACACAAGGTGCCCGACACTCTGCAGAGCTTCTGCAAAACCTAATAGCTTTCCAGCAGAGACTCAAAGGGTTGCACACAGGATTAAACAACGAAGCTGCAGCATAAGAAAATGCAGCATTTCCAGAAGAAGCACAGCCAGTTGTTTTTTTTTTTAAAATAGGACTCTAAGCTTAATGGAACCAAAAATAGTGCTTTTAAAAATCAGCCCGGCCTTCTAGCTTAAGGCAAATGGCATGTAAGTCATCAAAAATATTTTGAGGATCAGAATAGAAAGAGAGACCGGCTTATCACAACCAATCAACTACACCGGCATCAGATCTTCAGGAGCAAATGAATTTAATAATAATTTAATCATGTCTTCCCGCAGAGCAGAAACACATATAAATTTCTTCAACTGCTTGCACATTTTTATTTTTAAGCCCAGGGAAAATTGGGAGAGAAGCCATAGCGATCACATGAAGATTTTTGTTGAGCATCTTAGATTTGCAATCATATTTATCTTCAAGGGGGAAGAAGATGTCTATAATAATTAGCTCTCCTTCCTTGAGCATCACCCTTAAAAAATACGATGCTGTACAAAAGAAACTAAAGAAATCACTGTTAGAGCCAATTGGGTTTATTTCTTCAAAGGAAGGAATTTCAAGAGATGTTGATGAGAATTTACTTATCAACATTCCCTCTTACACATACACACACACACACACACACACACACACTGCCCCAACTGATAGATTTTCTCATTTTCTTGCCACAAGGATTGGGGCACACAAATTTCATTGTCTTACTGTCAAGTTTTATGCAGCATTCATTGCTCCCATTTATTCCAAACTCCATAAACCATGCTCCCTTTATGCCAAAGCTCCCTCCTTGCTCCCTCCATGTTCCCTTTACGCCAAAGCTCCATAAACAGTTGCTCCTGCTGTAAACTGCAATTTTTGAAGATAGTTTGGATACAGCATCTTGTCCAGAAGGCTACAACTAGACTACTAATTGGGTCAGCAGAAAGGTCCTATCTTGTTACTACTTAAACAAATAAATGATGATGATGGTGCCAGACCCCATGCTGATACAGAACCTTTGCCAGCAGTTTCATATATATACATTAAATACAGGTGGGGAAAAGCATAGATCCTTGTGGCACTCCATAACTGGAGCTCTGAGGCCAACTAAATGGGTTTGGGGGATGTCTGACAAATTAGACAGAAGAAACAACTGCAACTATAACAAGGGATGGAGAGAACTTTGGGTAGATGGGCAGAATTGTCTCTTGAGATCAGAGAGCCAAAACTTGATGGATTGCTAATTTTAAATAGTGGTCTGCTGTCCAAAATTTCACAGGTGACACTAGTGGTATCTGAAATGTCTTACATGGGGAAGGGCATGCTGGCTGGGGAATTCTGGGAATTGAATGCCACAGGTCTTAAAGTCACTGAGATTGAGAAACCCTGATAGCTCATGTTCCATCACTGGGTGGAATCTAAACTTCTGGAGACTTTCTGCCTAGTTAGGTGACTCAACCGACTGATGCCATTCCTATAACCCCACTCCTGGCCTCTGCTCTTTTATGAGGCAGAGGGAAACCCCTGCCACAGATGGCAAATTAGGAAGAGTGGTAGATTGGGGCCTGGCAGGTCACCACCTAGCCTTTCCACAACCAAACCTACCCTGATGTATAGGATTTCAACTTGGACTGGATCCCAGCAACTGCTCTGGGTTTGAATAATTCATATTTTCTAATTCTGAAGAAGACTTTTAGAACCCCAAAGTGAAATCTATTTTCCATTTTAGTGAAAACAAACAACTCTTTGCTACAGTGGCTAGGAGATTGGGATAATACCTATCTAATTCTCCAGAGGTAGTGCAAAGCATTAATTATATGATCTCTCTTTTTGTTTATATTTGGCCTCCTTTCCTTTTCCCCTCCTTCAGTTGGATAAATCCTATTTGAAGCTCAGGGGAAAAACAATCAGGATCCCAAGTTATATCCTTCGTTATCAGCCCACAACAGTTGTCTAGCAGAAAGACTCCTCCCGTTTCCCTCAAGAGTCCCTAACCATAGAGATCCAAGAAGCATTCTGAAAATTATCTTGTCAGATAATAGAGTATTAAGCTGGAAAGAATGAAGCTTATGGCAGACTATGCAAAATCGCTCAGCCTAAGCTAAACACATCTGACTTCCATTAGCCCAAAAGAAAATAGTTGCTCTTCAAGTTTCAACCAAGACCATCAGACATCAGACTGTGATTATCACAGACTGCAAATCACTGGGTTCCTCAACTTGGCTCTGAAACAAGCAGGCCTGACTCTACTTTTCTTTCTGACTCCAAGTAGCTGCACGGACAAGATCTTGCGGTTTTCTTTGGCATGTTACAGACATGTCATATTGCCTTCTTCAGGGATGACTTTTAACTTCCCAGTCTAGACATGAAAATGTCACCCAGTTGGCTTCCATGCCTGAGGGAGGACTAGAACCTGGATTTTCTTGCTTCCTAGTCCTTCACCTTCACTACTACATCACACAGGCTCTCAGCTCTACCATGAGGCAGAATGAAATGAAATGAGCTCTGCCAAAACCAGCAGGGTCAGCTCTATCCTTGTTGTTTTGTGCCTCTGAGTCAGTCTTGACTCCTGGCAACTGCCTGGACAAGTCCCTGCAGTTTTCTTGGCAAGGTTTTTCAGAAGTGGTTTGCTCTTGCCTCCTTCTTCCTGGGGCTGAGAGAGAGGGACTGGCCCAAGGCCACCCATCTGGCTTTGTGCCTAAGGCAGGACTAGAACTCGCGGTCTCCTGATTTCTAGCCCAGTGCCTGTCATGGGTTCTTTTTTTAAACCATGTCCAACTGGACTGACCCACGCTCAAGAGAGACACAAAAGCACTGGATCCTAGACAGGTGGTTTCTTTATATCTCCTTATAATGATTGGGGAGATGTTTTATTTCATAAAAACAAACATAAAAAAGTGATATGTGAGTGCTTCCTACAGTTTATTCTATTGCTATCTCTATACTATTACTATGTTAAATACTATTACTGTGACAATTACTATATACTATTACTTAATACTCTATTACAATTTGCTATATACTATATGCTCTATACCAGTGTTTCTCAACCTTGGCAGCTTGAAGATGTGTGGACTTCAACTCCCAGAATTCCCTAGTCAGCATGCTGAGGTTGAGGAATTCTGGGAGTTGAAGTCCACACATCTTCAAACTGTCAAGGTTGAGAAACACTGCTCTATACGATTACAGGTATGCATCAACATTTCTCTCTTAAGCCTGTTCTGCCTTAAGTCCCCTCTCTCTG